CCTTTGAAAAAATACAAATTATGCTCGTCTTTGAGCCATAAGAGTAAAATGCACTTTTAGTTACATGATGTCATCACTCCGCTGCTGCAGATGTGTCAGCTGCACATCAACAATATGGATCTCCTGCTCTGTCACATTCCAACCGTGCTCTGTTGGATTTGGATCTGTGGACTGTGGAGGCCATTTGAGTACAGTGAGCATAGATCCTCACAGACCTCTGAAGAGGTCATGCATATGTACTCAGTACTTTGTTTGGGCCCCTTTTGCATGAATTACTGCATCAGTGCAGCACGGCATGGATGCTATCAGCCTGTGGTACTGCTGAGGTGTTATGGAAGACCAGGATGCTTCAACAGCGGCCGTCAGCTCTTCTGCATTGTGCGGTCTCATGTCTCTCATCTTTCTCTTGGCAGTGCCCCTATAGGGTTCAGGTCAGATGAGTTTGCTGGCCAATCAAGTATAGTAATCCAATGGTCATTGAACCAGGTTTTGGTACTTTTGGCAGTGTGGGCAGGTGCCAAGTCCTGGTGGAAAATTAAGTCAGCGTCTCCATAAAGCTTGTCTACCGAAGGAAGCATGAAGTACTCCAAAATGTCCTGGTAGACGGCTGCGTTGACTCTGGACTTAATAAATCACAGTGGATCAGCACCAGCCAGATGACAGGGCTCCCAAAATCAACACAGACTGGAAAATACACACTGGACTTCAAGCATCTTGGATTGTGTGCCTCTCCATTCTTCCTCCAGACTCTGGGACCTTGGTTTCCAAATGAGATGCAAAATTTGCTCTCATCAGAAAAGAGGGCTTTGGACCACTGAGCAACAGACCAGTTCTTTTTTCCTTTAGCCCAGGTAAGATGCTTTTGATATTTGTTGTTCAGTTCTTCCACACTTTTCCCTTCCACGTAACTTTCTATTAATGTGCTTTGATACAGCACTTTGGAAACATCCAGCTTCTTTTGCAATTACCTTTTGGGGCTTTCCCTTCTCATGGAGGGTGTCAATGATGGTTTTTCTGCACAGCAGTCAGGTCAGCAGTCTTCTCACTGAACCAGACTGAGAGACCATTTAAACGCTCACGAACCCTTTGCAGGTGTTTTGGATTAATTAGCTGATTAGAGTGTGACACTTTGAGCCTACAATATTGAACCTTTTCGCAATATTTACATTTTCTGAGCTTTTGAATTTGGAGTTTTCATAAGCTGTAAGCCGTAGTCAGCAAAATCATAACAAATAAAGGCTTGAAATATCTCTCTTTGTCAATCTATATCATATATTTTTTTCACCTTTTAAGTTGAGTTACTGAAATAATGAACTTTTGCATGATATTCTAATTTTTCAAATTTCATCTGTATAGTGTTCACAGTATATACATACATATCTATTAAATCACCTTTTTCAACCTATTCTGATATTCAGTGTGAACTTCAGCATGTTATCGTGATCATGTGTACATATCTCATCGCATGGGGTGTCCGCCATGTGATGTGCTGATTACATGTTAATGTTAACAAGAAGATGAACAGGTGTCTGACATGTGAATGTCTGCTCATAAAAAAAAACAGACTTTGTTAAAACATTGTTTATTTTTGCTGTTGATTCTGGAAGTTGAGAGATATTTGAGTTAATTGCAAATCAGCTCCCCAGAAATGATAAATGTGCTCAATGAAACATAGCTGACCTCCAGTGGTTTAGTTAAACAACAGCAAGCATGAGATCAGCACAACACACTGTAGTGTTAAAGTCACAGAGCAGGCACTGAACGTGTGTCTGTTGAGTCACTTACACTTGGAAACCTTTAAAAAATTATGTAAAATTTAATGTATCACAAATCTATGTGACAGTGATGAATTTAACTGTTAATCTGACAAACATCTGTTCCTCCAGCCAGAGCCTCTGATCAGTGTATCCTCTTTATTTTGGAGGTGGTCAATTTCCAGCGCTCATTTTTTTAATTTCTTCGACTGAGAAAATGTTGATATTCGTCAGAAAAAAGCGATCAACTAAAAATCATACAAAATAAATGACTTGCTCATCAAACATGTATTATTATTTTTTATGCCCGTCTAACAGACAAAGAAAGAGAAGCATGTTTGCTTTAAAATCCTGTCTTTCCTGGACACATCCCTATTTGAATCTTTTGAATACAAGAGATTTTATTATATATAGTCCCCTGCATTGTGTTAAACTACGTACAGTAAATGATTCTGACCCAACACACCATGTTTCAGTTTTGTTTAGCTTTTATTGCACACTCCTGGCTTGGCACACATGGCAGCCAACTTTCCAGTCAGCTGTGCCCTCTCCTGCCCTCTGCTCTCCAACATCATCCAACAACATCTGCTCTCCCCTCCCCTGCAGCTGAGTCAGGGATCACACCTCAGCCACACTTATCATTTCTTTATATTTTGTGACGAAGATGGGAAATAGATTTATTGAAACGTGCAATTATACATAGAAATACAGCACAGAAGGAAAAACTAAAGTCTAAACAATTGGAATGAGCTTGAAAGTTAATATTCTTCAGCACCGTTTGAACTCTCTTAGTCAAGATTTCCTGTAATTTCTTTGAGTAGTCTTCAGGAATAGTTCTTCAGGCTTCTTGAAGGACATTCAAAGCTCTTATTTGGATGTTGATAGCCTTTTGTTCTGTTCTCTGTCAACAGGATCCCACATCGCTTCAATAATGTTTAGCTCCAATCCATGACCAATTGTGAGCCACTCAGCATTTTCCATGTCTGCTTTTTTAATGCCATTTTTGTTGTTTGAAGTCTGTCAGCACTTGGAGGCACTTCACTGGCCTGAGGTTCTAAGCAGTTATCTGCCTTGCCTAAGGGCAAACAGCACCTCTAGGAAAGAATTATATGTTTTGTCTCAGGCTGTTCATAACAAAGTGCCTAAAGACACAATCGGGTCCTTTGCCAAGTTGTCTGTTATGTGTAGACCCAACACCGATTCATCCCTTGACTCAGGAGCCTTTTTAATGTGTGAATGACTCACTTCTTAATTAGCGTTGCAAACAAAAACATTCTTCTGATAATGGTCACAAACAAGGACTGAACTGAAAGTGAGTGAAAAAGTAGCCAATTCTAAAGAAAAACTTTGATAGATCACCAGAAAGCCTGGAGAACTATCACTCAAAACCACCTATAAAAAAGTTCTGGCTCCTTGGAAATAAAAACTAAGGAAATGAGGGATGACTCAAGACTTTTCTCAACATTTTCTTAAGGTATTACACTTTTGAATAATATTGCTGCTTTGGATAGTGACAAAAAAGCTCATTTTAATCTGGTGTGTAACGTCATGCTTTTATGATTTGTCATATTTTTGGATTTGAAGATCTTAATCTGCAAAGCTTCTGCCAGTTAGCGGCTTGAATGAGCAAAGTTCCCTCTTAAATACAGCAAAATGGCAATACGAAGTAGCAAAACTTTAACAAGACATTGTTTATAATACAACCATCCCAAAATAATGACATGGTACAGTAGCCACTTCCTGCTGTTCAGCAGGCAGGATTTCTGCAGGCTCCTCGGTTTACTTTCTAGAAGGATGAGCTCAGTCGTATAGAAGCAATCAAAGCAAATGTGGTGAACAAATTATTCTCAATCTGGTAAAGTTTTCATAGATCATTTGAGCTAAATACATTCACACTGGACACTGTGACACGCTGTGTCTGGTTAATGTTTGGCTTTGTGATATCTGCTAAGAGGACATAAAAACCAACAAGCCAGGTAGATGGTGTCATAATCCTTTTTGAACATTTATAACAGGGCATTTAAAGCTAAAGGAAGGAGATGTAAAAGGGAGACTTTAAGTGCTACAACGGTATTTAGATTTCCTTCTCTCTCTCTCTTTTAACCTTGTTTCACTTGTACCCATTTAGCTTTAGCTCCAAATGTATTTATGTATAGAGAATACAACAGATATACAGATTACATAACAGCAGACTATTGAACAGATATGAAAGAATAATAAAATAAAGTGGTGTCATCTTATCTTAATATTTACAAATGGAAAGAATGCAAAATGCTGATCAAGTTTTCTCTGTAGCATTTATTGATGGGAGGGTGATTTCCACGATATCTGGTAACCTTTGCTCAAACGGGATACCACTAAAGATCTCACGCCCTCATCCAGGTGGCTCTTCCACAGATCCGGACTTTGTCCTTCTCTCTGATGAGGAAGTCTAAGCCGTACATCGACAAAGTGCGGGTTTCAAACATGAGCAGAGTTTGATTGGAAGCAAAAACAGCGCATAAGGAACTAACAACAAAAGGTAAGAATTGGTGACAATATCAGCAGTACACTGAATATGTCTTTATTGTTTCTCTGAACGATGTACGGCGAAGGCTTGCTGAAAGGTTGGACTTAGTTCTTCTCTTTATTCACGGCTATCAACATAATTTAAAAACATGCTTTTAAAAATAAAATTTAAAGAATAAGGGAAAACTTGAATAATTATTTAAAATGAATTCGTGGTGTGGTTTTGAATCCAAACTTTTAAAGGGTTAATGATTTTGGTTTCTACTGACTGTCATTACGCCACTTTTCCACCAACTACACATCATATGTCAGTCAGGATTTGAACCTCATGTATTCTTCATATGTCATTAATCAAGATCTGATTTAAGTGTTCCCTTAATTATTTTGATGTGTAGATAGATAGATAGATAGATGTTAGATGTACAGTGCACGTTGTTTTATTTGTATCATATTTATGTGTTGTGTTCAGTGTGTTTGGTCATGTGTCACTGCAGGTGTGCAGTTGTGATGTAACTGACCACATTTCTGTGTTACCACAAGATTGATTTCTTGATCCGTTTATAATTCTCTGCGTTTTAATGTAATTTTCATTCCTCTAATTAGCTCAGACTTAACACAATAAACTTGTAAAAGTGGGAGATTTATGGGTTTATTTCAGATACAGGTGGGTGAGTCCACTCACGTATGACGTGTGTATGATTCATGTGATATTCCAGGTGAGTCCAGTCAGCATGTTCAGGAATAACAGCCCCTTTGGCTGTGATACCAGCAGCTATGCAGACTCACTCCAGTCCAAGTATGTATTCTGGCAATTTTTTATCTGGGCAACAATCAATTGCCTGATTGCTTTATTTGTTTATTTTATTCAAAGGTTCAAAGGTTTATATTTGAGTTTCTGTTTTTCTGTGACAGTGGTTATTCCACGATGGATGAAGCGCCATCACGGCTTTCAAATATGTCGAGGCCAAGTGCAAAATCGATTTACTGTAAGTAAACATTGCTGTTAAACGTACTAATAGGTTTTAATTTCATATATATAACTCTGATTTATCTTATTGGATATTTATTTCTTTTATGACCTTATGCGACTGATCATTTGACTATGTCATTGCTGCCTTTCCATCCTAAATATTTCAATTGTCAATTGTTATTATTATTATTATTATTATTATTATTATTATTATGCTTCCACCTTTAATTGTATTTGTGAAAGAACATAAAGACCTGCTTTGTGTTTCAGCAGTGCAGAGGCAGGAGTATGCAGCATCAATAAACAAGATGATGGGCAACTTTCAGTGCAGGGTGGAGGTGGAGTATTAAGAACATTTTCTATTATACATCCAAATGTACGTGTCTCTGGATAGTGTCAAACTTCTGTTTTAATCCTTCTGTGCCGCAGCACCTGTTCACCTGTGACCTGGACGGGAAGGACCTGAAAAACATCACAGACTGTGTGGACCGTTTGAACCTGCTGGAGGAGATGGGTCATGTGTGGGGTCAGAACATGCAATTGGAGGTGCAAGGCACCAAAATGATGCTCACAGACATTGAAAACAAGGTAACAACCACAGCGCAGCTTACAAAAAGTCTATTTAAACTGGAATGAGTTAATTGGATGAGTTATCATCTCATTAAATTTGTGCCAATTTGCATAAATGTCTGATATCAAAAGTACAGTAAAATGCAGACCCGCTGTCATGTGTCATACAGGCGGGTTGAAAGTTCTGGGTAGGGCTAATAACATGGTGAGGCAACCACGTGTATGTCAGTAAGAGGAAAATGCACATTTGCCAGTAGCATTTTACCCTAAAACCCTTTAAAACCTTATTTATTTATTAGGATTTATTTATTTATTAGGACACACTAACCAATAAAGTAAAAACGTACCTGGATAAGAAACTCACTGCGGATCATTATCAGTCATCGCCTGCCTAGAGCCCAAACATCAACATTATTGAAGCAGTGTGGGATTATTTTGACAGAGAACAGAACAAAAGGCAGAAACATCCAAAGAAGAGCTTTGAATGTGACTCATGAAGAACTATTCCTGAAGACTACTTAAAAAAAACCCAAAGGAAAACAAAGAGAGTTCAGACTGTGTTGAAGAATAAATGTGTTCATGTGAAATATTAATTTTCAAGTTCATTAGAATCATGCAGACTTTGTTTTTGGCTTTTGTACTCTATATCAGTTTATTTTTTTTAAACATTTTAATACATTCATTTACCTATTTTCAGTTTCTCTAGCAAAACATAAAAACATGAGCTGTGACTCCAGAGGTTTTCACAGTACTGTTTAATGATGTTCAAACTTTTATCCTGCAATGATAGAAGCTATAAAAACATGTGAATCAACAACACAACATCCTTTGTGATGACTTTGTACTTGCTACTGTGCTTTTTCAGGACGAGCTGGAGTCGATGCCTCTCAGTGACATCCAGGAGTTCAACGCTGTGCTGAACGCCGGGGTGTTTAACTCTCTGCTCACAGTGTCAGTCCAGGCCAGGAAAAAACACAACCACACTGTCTTCATGTTCCAGTGTGATGATGTCAGGGTGAGGGCAAACTGGCCGAGATGGCTGCCATCATGACTCATATCAAGCGAAAGCAAAGGGCAAGTGATTTTCTAATTCTTTCTTCTGTTTTTTTTACAGGCCGACTATGTTGAAAAACATCTCTCACTAGCACTGGCACGCCAGGGACAGAATTCGGGCATCAAGTACTGTAAAATTTCTGTGTCCATACACTTTAATCTTTATTAAAGTTTTCTTCGTGAAACTGTATCTCACCTTTTTTAAAAAAATCAGAAATGAAGGAGTGAAACCTGCAGTAATCCCTACACCCAGAGAGCCAGAGCCTGCAGCTGAACCAGCGTGTCAGTGGAGTGAGCCTGACTATGGTAAGGTTGTGACAGCATACATGGTGATACTGATGCACTGGTTATTGGTGTGATGATGGCGTATTCATCCTCTTTTTCATCTGTTTGTGGTTGTGCGTATAGAAGACCATTTGCATGATCCTGAAATGTTACTGCCTGAAGATGAGGAGGAGGATGAGGAGCCCTTCATGCGTAAAGACGTACCTCGTTCATACACGGAGCTGGACAGGAATGTGGTGAGTTTTCTTTAGAAGTATCTTTTGCTTCTTCTTTGCATGCTTAAATCAGAAAGCATCTTTAATAACATCTGATGAGGGAAGAATAAATGAATAAATTCCTCTTTTCTCAGTGGCTTTTTTCTTTCTTGCAGGATATGTTGAATCATATTTTAAGTGACATCGAAATCTTCATGGGACAATTAGCTGCAGCAGAAGCTAAAAATGCAAAGAAGAAGAAGAAGATGAAGAAGAAGCAAAAGGGGAAAGGTCATTTTACGCAAAACTTAAAAGCACACTTGAAAAAAAAATCCCATATTGTGTGAAATTCACAGCTTCCAGCAGCACCTGGTTTAACTCAATTCAGTTTAATTCAATTAAGTGTTATTTATGTAGCACCAAATCACAGCAACAGTTGCCTCGACGTGCTTCATATTGTAAGGTAAAGACCCCACAAAAATACAGAGAAAACAGAGAAAACCCCAACAATCAGAGGACCCTCTATGAGTAAGCACTATGGCGACAGTGGGAAGGAAAAACTCCCTTTTAACAGGAAGAAACCTCCAGCCTAGACCTATTGCAGGTCTTTTAATTTAGTAATAAAAATATAATTTTAGATGTTAGTTTAGTTTAGCTGTCAGTTTCCGCTTTGGTCTATATTCATTACATAACTGTAGATTGCTGTGGGCTGGCTAAAATTACAAAGACTACAATCTGTATTTAAACAAATGTATTGCCTTTACTTATTTATTTACTTACTTTACTTATTTATCTTTGTTTGTTTTTTATTTTTCAGTCATGGACAGCATGCCCTCTCAAGAAGAATTTGAAGAATGCCTCCATAAAATTAAATTTGGCTTAAACCTGCTAGTTTGTTTCCCCTTTTCCATTAACACAATATCATCATGCTGTGGGTCTGTGTGTTGTTCCTGTGTAACATACAGTATGTGCGACATCTTTCTTTGACAGGGGGAGCTCAATGGAAAGATCAACAATCCCAGTGCTCCTGAATTTGTCCACTCCTTTTTTGTCTCGTTAAAATTCGTAAGTGACTATTAAAAACATTTTTGGCATCATCTTTAGAATTTCCCAGCACTGTTTCCACCTTCACACACACACACACCCACACGCACACAGGTGCGCGATCACAAATATAATAGAAAACATAAATTGATTAAATTAATGATAGTCTAGAGTGAGGAAGAAATCTGAGGAAAGGTAGCAAGGACATTTAAAAAATCACGCGTAACAGAGCTGCTTAAAAGCAGGACTAAAAAAAATTCTCTCCTCACACAGGTCATTTCAAAACTGAAGCACCCTGACTGTGAAACGTAGTTAAAAAGACGTTTTTTCACAGGACTGCACCCCATGATTCATTAGCTTGTAGAACCACTTTTAGCACTAATTGTTTTGTGACTTTATCAGTCTCTCACATCACTGTGATGAAACTCTGGCCCACACTTTTTTACAGGGTTGTGTCAGTTAATTGAGTGTTGTGGGCATTTCATTTATGCGCAGCTCTCTTAAGGTAGCCCCACAGCATTTCAGTTGGGTTAGTTTGGAGGTTGCAACACGTCCATTCTTTTCTTTTACAGCTGTTCTGTTTGAAATATGCTGCTCTGCTTGGGATCATGGTCCTACTTATAACCAGTTTAAACTTGAAGTGTTACACAGAGGGCCTCATGTTTGACTTCAAAATACTTAGCAGTTCATGGTTGTTTCAGTGACTGGTTTCCAGGTCCTGTGGCTCCAAATGAGCCCAAATCATCACCCCTCCATCGCTGTGCTTGACAGTTGTTATGAGGTGTTCATGCTGATATTCTGCGTTTGGCTTTTGTAAAAATGCTGTCACATAAAGAACTGTTAATGAGTGTTTAAACACTGGGAATTAACTTAACTGGGGATTTGATTCTCATTTTCTCACTGGCTGGACTTTAAACTGCACAGACACCTTCTGCTGTCATCTCAGCAAGCCTTCCACCTGCTCAGGGTGGGCTGTGCACACCACTATTCCACTGGACTTATATTTGTCATTAATTGTTAATGCCCTCATCAGGTGGTGTCACACTGTCCTGAGGTTCTGCCGCCCAGTATTATTGCGCCGTTGCTGACGCCTCAGTGTATCCGTCTCATGAGTGAAGTGGCGTCCACGGAGGAGGACGAGCTGTGGCAGTCTCTGGGAGATGCCTGGAACATTCCCAGGTGTAACAAGACATCTCTTATACTTTGACTTCTTTTTGTTTACAGCCGAGAAAGTGTTCTGTTAAATGTCAGCAGGGCAATCAAACATGTACTCTCACTGTTATCAGTACCCAGTGGCCAGAAGATGATGAGGACATCCCAACCTACACCCCGCAGTTCTTCGATGGCTGGCAGCCCCCTGAAGTCACTGCAGAACCTCCCCCCACTCCACCTCTGACCAGACAGAGGAGTGCACCCAAATCTGTGGCCAGACCAAAGAGCCCACAACCTGCACCCAGTAAACCTGTGACCAGGCAGGAGGATCGGCAACCTGCACCCAGTCAGGTAAACGAAGCATTCAAGTATCTTCTAGTTACTTAAATAAATAACACAGAAATTCACATCAATGCCATTTTCTTCTTCCACACAGACGTATGCCAGTTGGAAACCTACACGGTACGCACGAACACACAAAGGAGTCAATGATTCAGTGCAAAGTGAGTGTTTTTGATTTTGATTTTTTTCCCAGCTCAATGGAGCCAAAACCGCGAGAAGTGCGTGTGAAGTCTGACTTCATTTCAAGAAACCAAAGAGAGCTCACCGTGAGAAAAGGAGAAATAGTTCAGGTATCAGCAAAGTGACTCATCCAATTTTTCTGTCCCTACTCGCATTTGTTTTGCAAACTGCCTCCATATTTGCTTTATTTGTGCCTACAGCTGCTGGACAAGTCCAAGCAGTGGTGGAAAGTGAGGAATGACAGAGGGGAGGAAGGCTTTGTCCCCAGTAATATCCTGAGCGATAATGATCACCAACCTGATGAAGAGGTTACCACTCAGCAGACACGAACACGTTACAGTTCACATTAAACTCAGTGTTGTAGAGACACACAAACACTGAATTATTCCGAGCGCAAATGATAAGAAATAAAAAGCATGTTTGTATAGGATTAGACTTTTGCAAAGCCACAGGTGCTAATGGGAATGATCCCATTCCTGTTTTACTCCACACTCCAGGAAACTAGGAATTTACTATAAATACAAGAAACATTACTTGTAATGTGTAACTGCTGAGCGTTTTTGCCCTTCTAATTTGATGTTTACTTGTGTAAAACAAAGCAGAAAGCCCAACAAAGACAGGAAGTAAAACTTTCAACTGTGTAAAAGAGACCAAGAATTACAAAATAAATCAGGAACAGACATGAGCAAAAACCAATAATAATATAATTTACACTATATAGCAAGCTGTATGTGCATTTTTATTTTCATACTTAATTAAAGTAATACTACTTTACACTTAAAGTAATAATACATTATCGTTCCATTTTCAAAGGAAATTGTGGCCTCACCTGTCCTAACAAAGAGGTCCAAGCCTGCCGAAGTGAAAGCCTGGCTCGAAGACAAGGGCTTCAGTAAAATGTGAGTAAAACCAGAATTCTTCACTCCCTAATGTAATGAATTGGCTGTGCGGGTGACCTTGGTGTTAGTTTCTGGCATTTACTATCCAGTGTCTGCATAAAAAGAAACATGAAGGTCAGAAAGATCAGCTGAAATATCAGGGAGGAGGGACAAATGTGGACAAACAGTTAAAGAGTAAAAATGGTCTCAGATGTGGATGATCAACCTGCTGTGACATGTGCAATCATCTCTGTTCTCCTTCATATTAATATTAGTGTTATCAATTATCAAAATTATCACAATTTTCATACATTTCAGCTTTATTTATTCATTTTTTTCAGTCTGTTAAGTATAAATATTAAAAACAACCTTAGCCGAACAACAAAACACGACATATTAATGTATACTTCATTAACCCTGTAGGAAATTGCTTAGTCCTCTGCATTTAACCCATTCTACCAGTAAGCAGTGGGCAGCTACCAATCCAGCACACAGGGAGTAGTGTGTAGAGACAGCACCTTACTCAAGCCCCAAAACTATTCATGGCAGCGGTGGGATTCAAACCAACGCCCCCAAAGACACCGGAGCCTTAATCCAGCACCTTAGACCGCTCAGCCACGCTACCGATTGCACTGTGTTATTATGTATTTAATCCAAAAAGCAGAAGCTCCGTGTGAAAATCGGAGTTCTCCTTTACCCTCTTAATCTCTATGGAAGCAGTAAGTATTATCCAGGTGCTGCTAATCAAATGCACATGACTGACTTAACTGATCATCAGCAAGTGTGAGCAACTCTATAAAAGCTGAAGTCTTGGCAGTTTGCATTGCCAAGACATAAGCAATGATCTTATTTTCAAATAATTTCAAGTCTTTCACTCTACGGTGAGAAAGATTTTTCGCAAATGAAAAACATTCAAGATTTTCCAATCTTCCCTGGAGTAGACTTTTCAACCCAAGGTCAGACCATGCAATGCAGAGGAACTACAAAAAATCCAAGACTCACACTTTTCAGACTCTACAGGCTTCAGCATGTTAAATGTAAAAGTTCCTGACAGCATAAAGACTGAACAACTATGGCTTGTTTGGAAGGATTGCCAGGAAAAAGCCTCTTCTCTCTAAAAAGAACGTGGCTGCATGGTTTGTGTTTGCCAAGCCTAAGCTACACTAAGAACAAACTACAAGACTTCTGTAACAATGACCTTTTGACAAATGAGATCAAAATGTTTGGCCACATTTGGGAAAACCAAACACAGCATATCAGCACAAAAAACAAACACCTCATACCACCCGACAGCACGTTGATGGAGGGGTGATGATTTAGGTTTTATTGGCAGCCACAGGCCCTGGGTATGTTGCAGTCATTGAACTGACACAAAATCCTCTGAGTACCACAGTATTTGTAGAGTCTAATGTGAGGCCATCTACCATGTTTGGCTGAAAGTGAGTGATGCAACAATGATCCCAAGCACAGCAGCAAATCTACAACAGAATCACTGAAAGTGAAAAAATACAGGCGTTGATGCAAAGTCCAGACCTGCAACTGACTGAAATGCTGTGGTGGTACTTTAAGAGCTGTGCATGGACAATGTCTACAACTTAACAGAAGAGTGGGCCAAAAGTTCTCCATAATTACACGAGAGACTGTTAAAGTCATACAGAAAATGATCACTTCATGTTATTGTTGCTAAAAGCGGCTCTGCAAGCTAGTGAATCATGGGAGGTACTTAGCTTGGCTATATAAATCTGCAGGTATATAAAGACACAGTTGTGTGTACTGCTGCACACTAAGCAGGTTTTCCAAAGTGTGAGAAACACAGATCCATGTTATTTTTTCTCCTGCAGCACTGTACGCTGTCTCGGCGTGGTGAGCGGCACTACGCTTCTGGGCATGACAAGAGAGGAGCTGAAGGTGATGTGTCCTGAGGAAGGAGGCCGAGTCTTCTTCCAGTTAAAGGCAGTCAGGTCGCAGCTAGCTGTAAGTGACAAAGCACTGCTTCACTCACTTCTCCCATCCATGTGGAGTTTCTATAGAAGCATGCTGCATGTAGCACAGACAACTCTGCTCTGTCTTTTGTGAACACTTTAGGCTTCCAGTTAAGTGAGACCAGTGACGGGACATCAAAGGGGACAGAAGAGGACCAAAACTGGTCACCGATGATCAGACTCTGAAAACTTTGAGCTTTGAGTTTACAGTGCATACTTACGTCTTGTGTGAAATCGATTAAATATGCTACTAATAATATATATATATATATATATATATATATATATATATATATATATATATATATACACATACATACATACATGCATACATACACACACACACACACACACACACACATATAGTCGTGTTGTCGTCTTGTGTAATATAAGATCAGTAATCGCTTGAACTCTGTAATAAAAAGTTGGAGTGTAATTTGTCACAGAATAACCTGTAAATAAAAGTGTGACACAACCTGGGTGAATTAACATGCTTTATTTTGTTGTCGAGTCATTACACGTGAACCTCAGAGGTATCTGAATCTGTAAAACACTGGCAGTCCATCTCAAGCAATAAGGCTACAGATTACAGATTAATGGAAATAAAATCAGGCAGAATTTAAAAAATGATCAAAATGATAATAATAATAATGTCTACACAGTTACATGGCTGTAAAAACAAAGAAAAAAACCTCAGCTGAATACAAACACACACTGAGTATCAGAATACTTAGAGCACTATGAGGTTAGTAATGTAAATGATGCCGAACATGTTAACTGTTAACGCCATGTTTTGAATATATGCTGTGTTTCTGTGTTGGCTCCCACTTAGTGTTACTCGACTTCACGTTTTTTCTCTCTGACCCTCATGTGCTACTATTTACTGAGCTCAATCTCCGGTATATATTGAAATATTGGTTTTAATACAACAATACCAGAAACGTGAGCTTCTGAAGTAAAAGGAGTTGTTGCTTTTTCTTTTTTCCTGATGGTTGGCTTCAATATATTAATTATATGAGTAATATATTAATTTGAACTATGCAAACTATAATGGGACTTTTATGTAGTTTTCAGTATGTCAGCAGTTGATTGCTGTCAGTTGCAGTCTTGAATACTGCTGCTGGGCTCCAAAAAGACATGATTTGTGAGGTAGGGTGTACTATATGTTGGACATAATTAGCATAATAAACAATAAACAACAAGATGTAAAAGTGAACAGATAAAAACCGAACAGGTGGAAAAGTTTTGGGTTGGTTCAGATGACAAATGCCGTAGCAGCATGAGCAACTGTAATCAAAAAAACTCCCATAATCACAGTGCAAAATGTTACAGAGTAGTCAAAACTGAATATTAAACGAGCAAGTAAAAGGCTAACGTCAGTGTAGATGTAAAATCCATCAGTGTTTTGGTTCAAATGAAAAAGTGCAAAGGCCAAAGTGTTCACAGACACTGCTGGGGGTGACGTTTGGCTTTAGAGTAAAAAGTACCAACTTTGACACTTTATCTGTTACATTTGCATTGAAATACTGAGAGTTCACAGGAATAAAAACAGGTGAAGAATAACGACTAATGAAATAATAAAGAGGCAGAGCAGACACTCTGTGTCCACTTAGATTCAAAAAGCAATAAACAGACAAATTGAAGTGAAGGGACAGAAGAGGACCCATCATCAATTAGATAAAATTACCCATCTTTGTATTGCCTTTGAAAAATACACTCTTTACAGAAACTCCCACAGTGACATTTCCACGGAGCTCCACTTGTGTAGCTACAATTTATAGCTGAAAAATGACAGATTCTCCGTTTTTATCCTAACCACCTCTAAAGCAAACACTTTCCTACCCTAATACTTTACAGCTGGTTATTCAAATAAAGCCCGATACTTTCTGACTTGTTCTCTTCTAGTCTTGGCATCAAGTCTTACTCGACTGGGGTTTAACAAGTATGCTAGCAGTTTGATGGGAGGTCCAGTGGCAGGCAGTGTGATGTTATATTACAAAAATCCCGAGGTGGGTGATACCAGCTTTGACCAGGTTTGGGTCAAGTAAAAAAAAAAATGCTACAAGTACCATGCAAATGTCTTAACCATGTCCCAGCATGGTTTGTGAATTTGTACATGGTGAACAGAACCGAATACAAACCTGCTTGCTACATTACAAAACAGATTCTGGATTGAAACCTGGTCAGCAGCCCTGAATTAGTTTAGATGTTTTACACTAAAGCTTGCTGTAAACATCAGTCTCATTCTCTCCTGCCATCCATTAATCATGCAGACATGCAAATAAAAAAAAAAATCATCTACATACTCACAGAACCGGTAATAGATCCTCCTAAAGGCCAAAGTAAAAGCTACTTTACACTGATCATGCAGCTAGGTGGTTTCAGCTAATCGGTGTGAAGCGCGTATATGCTCAGTGTTTATCGACTGAGGGAAAATAAGCAGGCGAGAAAGAGAGCATGCACTGCTCAAAGCTAAAAATGAAAAGGCACTGTGAAACCTTGGCTGGGTGCATATGTACAGTGCATTGCATGCAAAGGGGAAAAACCTCTGTGACTGTCTAGTAAAAGGAATGAGAGTGATCGGGGCCCCTAAGACATACAGAGGGGGGTTCGTGGTCACAGTGAGGTCAAAGTGAGAACTCATCCACATTTTTTGTGCTGTGATTAAAATCTACAGTGTCTCTCCTTCAGCACACAAACATCTCATCATTTTTGACGAGGTCGCTTCGTACGCTGCTTAAAGAGTCCCATTCGCTTCAAGGAATGTTTGCAACAACCTGCTTCTCTCCTCTCGACTGTGGAGTTTTTTTTCTTTCTGTGCTGACTGAATCATGGAAGAACGATTCTAGAAAGTGCAATTTAGCAAGTATATGATTAAAAACCACACCAAGCAAGACACACACAGCTATGATTTAGTTTAGTCAAAGTTTGTTGTGCAGGTAAGTCCAACCTCCACCAACACTCAAAGCGTGTTATTCCTGCAAAAATAGATCAGTAATTTTTCATTTGTGTGTAATCAAATGAAAGAACAGAATGACTAAGTATAGAAGAAGCTGAGCAAAACAGGGGAGGTTTAAATGTGCTGGTTGTCAGTGTAAATACTGCAGCTACTACTATGAAAGCATGTTACTAATTAATAGAAAACACCACAGGGACCATCTGATGGACAGGACAGGAATACACCACACGTTTCCCTGCTGTTCAATCTCAGAAAACCCTGATGGCAGGCCCTGCAAACCTTCATGGAACTGACTCAGATTGCAAACAATGGACATTTGGAGAAACTTTAAATAAAATAACACATGGCTGGATGTCCCCCCCCCCACCCAGCAACATTAAAGTAAGTGGAGCCTAAGTGTTCTGGCAGAACTATATTCTTGGCTTTTTCATAGCTGTGCAGCTGACATACTTGTACAATTGTTGTGGTGGTGTTTTATGCTGCTCTCACAGCACATGTCTTCAGTGTCATGCTGAGTGGACCACGGGTTTGGGGATTTTACATTTTGTCAGGTTTCAACGCCGTCCCGGGAAAGAGCCCATGGTGAGAGAGTCCTCCTCCTCGATAGCGTCCAGCTCGTCCGTGCGCACAGCATGAGTGATGAGCTGAAGCTCCTCGGTGAGCGTCTCGCTTCGGTACGCCACGCGGATGTCCGGGACATTGGTGCGGCGGATGTCGTTGCTCTCAGAACCCTCCTTAGCGTAATTTGGACCCAACCAGTAGCTTTTGGCCTGGAATGAGAGGAAAATATATAGTTGACACTGATGTTCAGTGTATGTGTGTGATGGCGCTTCGCCATCTTGTGGTGGCTCTGTGTGTGTGTGTTTTGCTCTGTTGCAGGGTTTCCTCAGTCGAGCTCAGCTACTGTACTTCCACTTGCCTGTAGGCCATCGTGCCTGCACCCTACCTCGCTCTGAATGTTTTAATTTATTCTTAATTCTTTACATTTTTCTTTAGATTTGTTTCAAGATTTATTAATTACTGTCAAGTTGGTCTGTGTGGGACGATCATTATTTTTTGGCATTTTTGCCTTTATTGGATAGTGGAGACGGACAGGAAAGTGGGGAGGAGAGAGGAGAGGACACGCAGAAGGTCAGACTCAAGTTCACTTCTGCCCTCTGGCATGTGATCACCTGCTTACCCACTGAGCCAAAGTGGCGCCCACAATGATTTTAATTTTTTGAAGTCTTGCACCACATTATATAACAATGTATTTCTAACCTAATGTTACATTATTTAACGCTGAGCAATACATTTAAGATTTTTTTAAAGTGTTTCCACAACAAAAAACTTGTAAAGGATACTATTTATGATCAAACTACAATATTTTAATGACTTGCAATGGATTGTGTGGATATGTGCAGTGCATACATATACATGTGATCCCTGCTACACAAATACACGAAGAGAGCTTTAAATTAGTTTACCTTGTATGAAAATCCACTCATGAGGACACTGTTTCTTGCCAGCTCACACATGTCACATGAACTTAGTTTCCACACTTGAGTGGCAATGCTGTACTCCTCCATCAGAGGTTCCTGGGTCCAAACAAGCAAACATGGAGATTTCTACAATTTCCTTCTATAACTTTTCACACTGTGTGCTTTAAGTGAGGCCATGTGTGGATTCATACCAACCTTGGTAAAGTGGAACTGGAGAGGATCATCGGTGGACAGGGAGACCATGAGGCCTCTGGACAGATACTCTGGCAGTGGGTTGCGGTGGTAACTGAGGAACAGGCTGTTGTTGCTCAGTGGTGACATGGCAATGCCGACTTGAGCAAGGTAATAAAGATACTGCAGCACCGGAGCCTGAGGTCAGACAAAGGTGAAAAGCAACAGAGACAAAGAGACAAATCAGCAAATACAGCTGCAAGCTACAGTGGATTGGCAGATTTGCTTTGATTATTCTTGCAGAAACAAAAAAACAAAAAGCACACCACACACAGTCACACTAAACTAAAAAAAAAAAACAGCCTCTCATTTTCAATTTATAGCATATAGGGTTAGATCTGTAACTCCTTTGAAAAATTAACTCATTTCATTCAAAGCAAAATTATACAAAAAACCCAAAACAACTATGTCAGTGTTCAAAATCCTATGGCCATAACTATAAGTGTCTCAGTAAGGTCCTGGGCCATCAGGACATCTTCAATGCA